CAAAGTCCTTGTACTTGATATCTTCCAAGGATCTATCCTCGGTCCCTCATATTTGTCATCTACATACTGTCACTAGGTGACATCATCCAAAAACACTGTGTTAGTTTCTGCATATACACTGACAGTGTGCAGCTCTGCCTCACACCAACCCTCACCATTCCTTCATTGTTCCTAATTTATCGAACTGCTTATCCCACATTCAGTACTAGATGAGCAGAAATTTTCTCCAATTAAGAATTGGGATGGTCAATGCTATTACCTTCAGTCACTGTGACAAAATCCATTCCCTAAGTACTTAATCCATCTCTCTCCCTTGGAACTGAGGACTTTGCATCATCTTGGTGTCATATTTCCACACCATCGCTAATATCAGGAATTTCAATCGCCAGAACATTATCCGACCCCATTTGCAGCTGAAACCTTCATCCATGCCCATCTTACCTTTAGATTTGACTATTCCAACACACTTCTGACCAACCTCTCACATTCACACTACTCCCATCCAGAAATATGAGATCATTAAAACCTCTGCTACCCATTGTGTTTTCCTCACCAATTCCTGTTTATCCACTGTGTTATATCTAGGATCTTCCCTCTTCATTCACTGAGTCCTAGCTGAAGTTGCATAGGTGGGGAGAAAGAGGAAGTTTGGCGTGGGGGGGGTGGTTGATGAGAAGAACATACTATAAAGGGGGAGAAATGAGCTGTAGAGGTGGTGAGGGGAGAAGTGAGTGCAGGAGGTGTGGAATGAGCTGGGGGGGGGGTGGAAGTGGGAGAGAATGAGCCAGGTGGAGAGGGAGAACAAGTCTGAAGTCTTGCTAGGAAACATGTTGTGAAACTTGAAAGGGTTCGGAAAAGATTTACAAGGTTGTTGCGAGGGTGAGAGGGCTTGAGCTATAGGGAGAGGCTGAATAGGGGTGGCATGGTGGTTAGCACTGCTGCCTCACAGTGCCAGGGACCTGGGTTCCATCCCAGCCTCAAGGCAACTGTCTGTGTGGAGTTTGCACGTTCTCCCCGTGTCTGCATGGGGTTTCCTCCAGGTGCTCTGGTTTCCTCCCACAGTCCAAAGATGTGTAGGTTAGGTGGATTGGCCATGCTAAGTTGCCTGTGGTGTTCAGGAAGGTGTAGATTAGGTGCGTTATAGGGGGGATGGGTCTGGGTGGGTGCTCCTGAGGGTTGGTGTGGACTTGTTGGGCTGAAGGGCCTGTTTCCACACTTTTTTAAAAGAAAAAAGAAGAACAAAGGCCAGGGCTATTTTACCTGGAGCATTGGAGGCTGAGAGATGCCCTTATAATGGTTTATAAGATCATGAGGGGCATGGACAGGGTGAATAGTCAAAGTCCTTTCCCCAGGGTAGGGGAGTCCAAAACTAGAGGGCATAGGTTTAAGGTGAGAGGGGAAAGATTTAAAAGGGACCTAAGAGGTAATGTTTTCTCACAGAGGGTGGTGTGTGTATGGAATGAACTTCCAGAGGTGGTGGTTCAGGCTGGTACAATTACAACATTTAAAAGGCATCTGGATGGGGACATGAATAGGAAGGGTTTAGAGGGATATGGGTCAAATGCTGGCAAATGGGACTAGATTAATTTGGGATAGCTGGTCGGTATGGATGAGTTGGATTCAAGGAATCGTTACCATGCTGTATATCTCTGTGACTTCATGATAAAGAAGCTCCATGAGTACCTCATGTTTGCTGTTGGATTTGGGGATGGGAGAGATAGGGGACAGGGAGGACACTTCAAAAGGGAGTAACTTATGTTTGTGATATTAAAAAAACTAGACACTCTGTGTTCAACATAAAGCCAGTTTATTTTAACTTGGTCAAGAATATTATCCTCTATAACTCAATTGGAGTTGTTAACATTAGCAGAGACAGAGAAATGCCTATCGCTCAGTCCTGGATGCGATTAGCATAAACTAAAATCACTATTGTTATTTGTGAATTTGCTTATGTCGGAGAAGATGGGATGACCGAGTGAATCTTTTCCCACACTCCGAGCAGTTGAATGGTCTCTCCCCGGTGTGGATTTGCTGGTGTTTCAGGAGGATGCATAGCTGAGTGAATCCCTTCCCACACTCAGGGCACGTGAAAGGTCTCTCCTCAGTGTGAACTCGCTGATGTGCCAGCATGCGGGACGACTGAGTGAATCCTTTCCCGCACTCAGAACAGGTGAACAACTTCTCTCCAGTGTGAGTACTATGGTGTTTCAGCAAGCTGACTAACTGGGTGAAACCCTTCCCACACTCAGAGCAGGTGAATGGCCTCTCCCCGGTGTGAGTTCTTTGGTGTGTCAGCATGTTGGATGAATGAGCGAATCCCTTCCCGCACTGGGGGCAAGTGAATGGCCTGTCCCCAGTGTGAACACGCTGGTGTCTCAGCAGGTTGGACGACCGGGTGAACTTCATGCCACACTGGGGGCAGTTGAATGGCTTCTCTCCAGTGTGTACTCGCTGGTGTACAGTGAGATCTGACGACGTCTTGAACCCAGTTCCACAGCAAGCGCAGCTGAACGGCCTCTCATCAGTGTGAACACGTTGGTGGGAGATCAGTTCCCAGGAGCTTTTGTAGCATTTGCCACAACTTGAGCATTTAAAAGGTTTCTCGTCAGTGTGAACACGTTGGTGTGTCAGCAGGCCAGAAGAAGAAGTGAAGCCCTTCCCACAATCGGAGCAAGTGAACAGTCCCTCCCCAGTGTGAACTCGTTGGTGTTTGAACAGATTGGATGAATTAATGAATTCCTTGCCACAGTTGGAGCAGGTGAATGGCCTCTCCCCAGTGTGACTGCGCCGGTGAGTTTCCAGCTCAGATGGGAACCGGAATCTCTTCCCACAGTCCCCACATTTCCACGGTTTCTCCCAACTATCAGTGCACGTGTGTGTTGGCAGACCAGCTGATTGGCTGAAACCTCGTCCACACACAGAACACATGTGCAGTTCCTCTCCACTGCGAACAGCGCTTTTTCCTTCCATGGTCAGAATCCGATGGTATTTCAGATGACTCCAACCTGGGTGATTCTGCTAGAACCTGGTGTGCTGTTTCGTTGGAGTTTCCTGCATGTAGATCCTCTTCAGACCCTGTGAAAATGACTTAAAACAGAGAAAGGGAGTCAGAGAGAGCCCACAGAAATACAATGACAGGTGAGGTCAGCACTCGGCAAAAGTGACAACGAATGCTAGCAGATTGTCATAAAAACTTAACTGATTTACTACTATCCCTCAGGAAACAGTACCTGCCACTGAATCTAGGCCTTTACAAGATTCCAAGCTCCATGCAAGTCAAGAGGGAAGAGATGCGAGAGTGCTTTTACAAAGCTACAGCATGGAGGGTCACTGGTCAGGGACCCAGGTTCGATTCCACCCTTGGGCGACTGTGAGTGTGGACTTTGCACATTCCCAATGTCTGTGTGGGTTTCCTCTGGGTGATCCAGTTTCTTCCCACAGTCCATAGATGTGCAGGTTAGGTGGATTGGCCACGCTAAATTGCTCACAGTGTTCAGGGATGTGCAGGTTAGGTGCAATAGCCACGGGAAATGCACGGTTACAGGGATACAGTGGGAGAGAGGTCTGGCTGTTCAGAGGGTCAGTGTGGACTTGTTGGGCCGAATGGCCTGTTTCCACACTGTAGGGATTCTTTGATTCTACTAAGTAGAAACTTTGCAAAATCTCCATGTCAAATGTTGCTTTATAGCATTTCTGCGAAACAATTGGAACATTATGTTAAAGGTGCTATATAAATACAAGTTGTTGCAATTAATGTAGACATCTATCACTGTTCCTTCATCATCACTGTGGGAGTAAACTGAAGCTCCTTACCTTACAGCACTGTGGGATCACCTTGACCACACGGACTGCAGTGGTTCAAGAAGGTCAAGCATCATCTTCTCCACATGCAGCTGGGGACTGGCAACAAAAACAGAAATTGCTGGAGAATTGCATTAGTCCCATATCCTTGAATGTTATGATATTTGAAATACTCGTCCAATTTTTTTTTTGAAAGGTTATAAGGTTTCCAGTCTCCACTACCTTCCCAGGCAGTACAATCCAGATTCCCACCACCCACTGAGTGGGAAAGATATTTTTCCCAAAATCCCCTCTGAATCTCTGCCCTTTACCCTAAAACTGTGCCCTCTTGTGATTGACCCCTCAACCAAGGGGAACAACTGCTCTCTATTCACCCTGTCCATACTCTTCACAATCTTATACACCTCATCCATGTCCTACTGTCAGCCTTCCCTGCTCTAAAACAGACAAGCCAAGCCTGTCTAGTCTCTTCTTTTCACTCAATTTCTCCATCCCAGGCAACATCCTGGTGAACCTCCTCTGTACCCTCTAATGCTATCACATCTTTCCTGCAGCGAAGTGACCAGAACAGCACACAGTACTCCAGCTGTGGCCTGACCAACACTCTGTACACCACCAATATTACCTCCTTTCTTTTATACTCCATGCCATGACTGATGACAGCAAGTCTGCTGTATGCCTTCTCAACTATCCAATTCACGTGCTCTGCTGACTTCAGGGATCTGTGAATAATTACCCCAAAATCCCTTTGTTCCTCTAAGCTACCCAACGTCCTGCCATTCAGTAAATACTCTCTCATCTTGTTCTTATCAGGGTTAAATACCATGAATCACTGAAGGTGGGATTGCAGGTGCAGCAGGTGATGAAAAAGGCAAATGGAATTTTGCCTGCCATTGCTCGAGGGATGGAGTTTAAAAACAGGGATGCTATGCTGCAGCTGTATAGAGTCCTGGTGAGGCCACACCTGGAGTACTGTTTGCAGTTTTGGTCTCCTTACTTGAGAAGAGATATACTAGCACTGGAGGGGGTGCAGAGGAGATTCACTCGGTTGATTCCAGAGTTGAGAGGGTTGGATTACGAGGAGAGACTGAGTAGACTGGGATTATACTCATTGGAATTCAGAAGAATGAGGGGAGATCTTATAGAAACATATAAGATTATGAAGGGAATAGATAAGGTGGAAGCAGGCAGGTTGTTTCCGCTAGCAGGTGAAACTAGGACTAGAGGGCATCGCCTCAAAATAAGGGGAAGCAGATGTAGGACTGAGGTCAGGAGGAACTTCTTCACCCAAAGGGTTGTGAATCTGTGGAATTCCCTGCCCAGTGAAGTGGTTGAAGCTACCTCACTGAATGTTTTTAAGGCAAGGCTAGGTAAATTTTTGAACGTAAGGGAATTAAGGGTTATGATGAGTGAGCCATGATCTTATTGAATAGCGGGGCAGGCTCGAGGGGCCAGATGGCCTACTCCTGCTCCTAGTTCTTATGTTATATTCTTATCTATCAGTGGTCAACCCATCTGAAGAACCCATCTATATCGTCCTGCAACCTACAACCATTATCTTCGCTGTTCACTATTCTACCAATCTTAGAACATAGAACAGTACAGTACAGGCCTTCGGCCAATGGTATTGTGCCAACCTATTATCCTACGCTAAGATCAAACTAACCTGCACACCCTACATTTTACTATCATTCATGTGCCTATCTAAGAGTCGCTTAAATGTCCCTAATGTATCTGACTCTACTACCACTGCTGGCAGTGCATTCCACGCATCCGCCACTCTTGGTGTCATCTGCAAATTTGCTTAACGTTCCCCCCCCACATTTTCATCTACATTTATATATATTACAAACAATAAGGGTCCCAGTATTGATCCTTGTGGTACACTGCTGGACACTGGCCTCCAGTCATGCAAACAGCCTTCAATCACTACCACTGACTCACCGGTCTGCAACTTCTTGGCTTATCTCTACCACCTCTCTTAAAAAGTGGAATCACATTAGCTGTCCTTCAATCCTCTAGCATTTCCCCTGTGACCACAGAGGAATTAAACATTTGTGTCAGAGCCTTGGCAATTTCCTGCCTTGTCTCCCGCAGCAGTTTGGGATGCAATTCATCCATGCCAGGGGATCTGTCTGTTTTTAAGCCTAACAGAGCCTCCAATACCTCACTATTTCCTCTATCATACTGTGCATGTTTCTCACCTCCATTTTCCTGAATTCTGTACCTACGCTCTCATTTTCCAGAGCGATGACTGCAGAGAAATATTTATTCAACACCCTTCCAATAACCTGTGGCTTCACACACAGGTTGCCCCCTTGGTCCCTCATGGGCCCTATTCTTACCCTGGTTAACCTCTTCCGTTTAATGCATTTATATAATATCTTAGAATTCTCCCTAAACCTGTTCGCAAGTCCTTACTCATGCCCGCTTTTTGCTCTTATAATTGCTTTAAGTTCCCTCCTGCACTTCCTGTGTTCCACGAGAGCCACAGCTGAATTGCTCCCTTCAGTCTTGCTAAAAGCCCTACTCCTCTTCTTTATCCAGTCCTGAGTTATCTTAGACATTCAGGGTTCTCTGAACTTATTGCTCCTACATTTCCTTCTAAAGGGTACATATTGGATCTGTCCTCTTCCCAGCTCCTTTTTGCATGCCCCCCTCCCCAGTTATTCTGTTGTAGACTTACCAGTGAGGGGCAACGTCTTTCACACAGAGTGGTTTGTGTGTGGAATGGACTGCCAGAAGAAGTGGTGGATGCAGGTACAGTTACAACATTTAAAAGACAATTGGATGTTTACATGAACAGGAAAGGTTTGTTCCAGCTCATTAGCACTTACTGCAAAAAGATTTGTCCTTCAGTCTTTCACAAAATCTTAAATATGTCACTTGTAAATATCTAATGATCCGGTAATCAGGACAACTTTTTGAATTCTCTCGTGAATGCGTCAGTCAAATCTCTCTTCAATCATTCTTTGCAACAAGGAGAACAATTCCAGTTTCTCCAAAGCCTGTCCATCATCTTCTGGGCACAAGTCAGGAGTGTAATTGAATAATCTCCATTAACCTGGATGAGAGCAGACCCAACAACACTCCACAAGCTCAACACTGTACAACACAGAATAGCATGTTTGATTCGCACCCGCACCCCCACAAGACGCCCCTCCACTGCCCGGCCTCCCATCCCACTGACTCTCACCATTTGCGGAGCCAGAAAGGTGAGATCCAACCACCAGGAGATCTCCGGGTGTAGCGGGGGGATGGGGGTAGGAGAGAGACGGAATGAAGACCGCGCATGCGCCCTCCCAGTCACGGACGCGACCCACCGATGATTGACGGTAGGTCCGGACCAATAGGCAGAAAGGGAGTCGCGGGTGAGGGCGGGGCTGGAGGACCAAACTTAAGCGACCGGTCCTCCAACCAATGGGAGTGAATGGGAGGGCGTGGCTGATCTGGGACTTGGGTGCGGATTGGTCAGGGAGAAAGTGAATCTTACTATCTCAGAAAGTGAATCCTGTCCACTTTGGGAAGAGCGCAGACGGGAGAGGATTCGAAGGGAGTCCATAAATAGGAGCTAACAGTGTGAAGAAGGGTCCGACCCATCAGCTTTCCTGCTCTTCTGATGCTGCCTGGCTTGCTGTTGTTCCTCCAGCTCCACGCTGTGTTACCTCTGACTACAGCATCTGCAGTTCTTACTATCTCTGGGGCAATAATTAATATGTATTTTCAGTAATTGATGAATTACATTGTCATGTGAACTCAGAGGGGGAAGTGTGGGTTGTTGTCAGTGGGAGGTGCTGGGATCTGAATCAATGCATACGTGCAGGGAGCCTTAAGATCTGAGGGACAGTAATTGAGAATTTTTTTTTGTGAAGCCAGCCGTCCCATTGCTATGCAATAGTAAAACTCATGGAGGTTTTTAAAGTGGGGACCATTGGAGAATGATGCATGCGAGGAATTTATGACCTGTCTCTGAGGATACAGTGAGGAAAATGAGGGGTCCTGGAGAATAGCAAACTGTTCATGTTCAAAAACAGAAGTTGCTGGAAGAGCTCAGCAGGTCTGGCAGTCACTGTGAAGAAAAATGTCAGAGTTAATGCTTCGGGTCCTGTGACCCTTCCTCAGAACCTTTTGTTCCTGATTTACAGCGTCTGCAGTTCTTTCGGTTTTTATTTAAACCACCCATGTTGTTAGAGATTTGACCCACTACAAAGTGGTTGACTCTTACCTGTCCTCTGGGCAATTAGGGATGGGCAATAAATGCTGGCCTAGCCAGTGACAACCTCATCCCATGAATGAATAAAAAAAAACTGATTGTGTATCTGTCATGATTTACACAGCGAATAGTCAGCCTGAGACTTCATCTGAAATGAACCACATAAACTATTGAAAGTGATTCCCAGAGGATCAACACTGTCTCCCCCACAATGCTCATTCACTCCATAGATAGTTGAGAAATGAAAGATTGATGTAGGTTTGGGCCTAGAACAAGTACAAAGCAATTTGATGCAGTGGTCTTCTGGATGGGAGGGAAGCAGCAAAAGGCAAGTGATTTTATTGTCTCAATCTTAGTGACAAAGAACCTCCATGAGCTCTTTGCATTAGTTTTGGGAGAGGTAGAGCCCTTCAAGAGTAACAAATTTGTGTTACAGATATTAACTCTCAACAAACTGAGTCAAACACAAGGTTGATTTATTGACTATTATGCAAAACATTAGCATTGCTACTGGGCTAAAGATTATTAAGAGCAGCAGAAACAGATCCCAAGGAATACTGGTCAGTCTTGGATGCAACTAACAACACTATCCTTACACTGTGAACTCGCTGATGTCTCAGCTAGTCAGATGACCTAGAGAAACCTTTGCCACACTCACAGCAGAGAAATGCTCTCTCCCCATTGTGAGAGCATCTGAACCTTCTCTCATCAGTGTGAACAAGTTGATGGTGAATCAGCTCCACAGACCTTTTGAAGCACTTTGGACAGTCTGGGCATTTAAAAGGTCTCTTGTCAGTGTGAACACACTGGTGTCTCAGCAGGCTGGATGAGTCAGTGAATTCCTTTCCACACTTGTAGCGGGTGAATGTCCTTTCTCCAGCATGAATTCACTGGTACGTGGTGAGTTTAGATGATCGTCTGACCCCATTCCTGCAGCAAGAGCAGCTTGATCTATTCTCATCAGTGTGAACACTGATGCCACATAATTTCGTCAAAACTTTATAACTCTTTCTGCATTTAATAGGTCTCTCATCAGTGCGAACCTTTTGGTGTACATGTTGAGTTCAGATGATCACTTGAACCCAGTCCAACAGTGATGGCACCTGAATGTAGGAGCAAATTACTGCAGGGTGCTGGAATCTGTACTGAAAACAACAAATGCTGGAAATCACAGCAGGTCTATAATTTGGGGTATCAACATCTTTCCTCCACCAGCACCCTACACCCACTATCCCCACACTCCCCCCACCCCAATCTATAGCATAAATGTTATCCCCTCCACACTTCACTTCAGCTCTGATGAAGAGTTATCTAGACTTGAAACTTTAGCTTTCTGTCTCTCCATGGATGCTGTCTGACCCGTTGTCATCTCTAGCCTTAGTTGTTTTCAGATGGCACCTGAATGGTCTTTCAGCAGCGTGAACACATTGATGGGACATCAGGGCCTCACCACCTTTAAAGCATATCCTGCAGACTGGGCCTTTAAAAGGCCTCTCATTGATGTGAACTCGCTGGTGTCTCAGCAAGCCAAATGACTGAATGGATCCCTTCCCGCACACTCAGCAGGTGAATGGTTTCACCCCTGTATGAATGCGTTGATGAGTTTCCAGCTCAGATGGGTAACTGAATCCCTTCTCACAGCCCGAACTGGACCGAGAATGCCTTTTGTTGTGTAGCTTTCATGATTTACACAGCCTGTGTCTTCATCTGAAATAAACCACACCAATTATTCAAAGTGATTCCCAGAGGATCGATAATGTCTCCTCCACAACGCTTATTCACTACATAGATAGGTGAGTCAGTGGTAGGGAAACTATTGGAGAAAATTTGGAAGGAGTGAATTAATACCCACTTGGAAAGGCATGGGTTCATTAGGGATAGTCAGCATGGCCTTTGATAGAAGGAGGTCATCCCTAATAAATTTGTTAGAATCTTTTGAAAACGTGATCAAATGTGTGGATGTGGGATGTTCAATTTATATGGATTTTAGCAAAGGTTTTGACAAAGTCCCACATGGGAGATTGATGGAGAAGATTAAAACACACAGGAATGAGGGAAAGTTGCTGGGATGGATCAGAAACTGGCTTAGTAATAAGACACAAAGGGTGGTGGTAGAAGGTTATTTGAGTGACTGGAGGCTGGTGTCCAGTGGCGTACCACAAAGATCTGCACTGGGAGCCTTATTGTTGTTTATATACATAAATGATACAAATGAAAATCTGGGGGGAATATTAAGCAAATTTGCAGATGACAGCAAGGTTGGTAGAGTTGTTAATAGCGAAGAAGATGGTAGTAAGTTACAGGAAGATACAGATATGTTAGTCAGATGGGCAGACCTATGTCAGATGGTATTTAAACTTAATAAGAGTAAAGTGATGCACTTTGGAAGAAGAAACAAGATGAGGGAGTATTTAATGAATGGCAGGACACTGGGTAGCTTAGAGGAACGGAGGGATCTTTAGGTAATTATTCACAGATCCCTGAATTCAGCAGAGCATGTAAATAGGTTAGTTAAGAAGACATATGGGATGCTTGCTTTCATCAGTCGTGGCATAGAGTTTAAGAGCAAAAAGGTGATGTTAGAGTTGTGCAGTGTTAGTCAGACCACAACTGGAGTACTGTGTGCAGTTCTGGTCACCTCACTACAGGAAGGATGTGACAGCACTAGAGGGGATACAGAGGAGAGGATGTTGCCTGGGATGGAGAAATTGGGCTATAAGGAGAGACTAAATAGGCTTGGATTGTTTTCTTAAGAGCAGAGAAGACTGAGTGGGGGACATGATTGAGATGTATAACATTATAAGGAGTATGGGCAGGGTGAATACAGAGCAGCTGATCCCCTTGGTTGAGGGGTCAATCACAAGAGGACACAGTTTTAGGGTAAAGGCCAGGGGATTCAGAGGGGATTTGGGAAAAGTCTTTTTCACTCAGGGGGTGGTGAGAATCTGGAATGCACTGCCTGGGAAGGTAGTGGAGGCCAGAAACCTTAAAACCTTTAACAAATATGTGGATGCGTACTTCAGATATCATGATTCAAGGACATGAGACAAGTGCAGGAAATTGGGATTAGCGCACTTTTAGTGGTAATTGTGTCGGTGCAGCTTTGATTGGACAAAGATTCGTACCGCGCAGAAAAGACCCTATGAATCTATAAAGTCAGATAATATCCAAGTTATATCAATCATGTCTGTCTTTCAGGTTTTGATGTGCTGTTTGTTTTCAGTTTCCCAACTGCAAATCCTTCCATTCTAACACCCCTGTTCAAAACATTTGAAATAGGAGTAAGAAAATATAAGAGGGTATCCATAAATACATAGTGAAATTGAGCTGAATGAATCTGCTAGTTTGTGGGGCTGACATGAGGAAATTGTAAACAACAAGGATTATCATAAAACTGCAACTTGTTCAGAAACATCCATCTTGGAGGGAAACCCATCAATTAGTCTAGACTTACATAAGAAAAACAGAAAGAACTGCGGATGCTGTAAATCAGAAATAAAAACAGAAATTGCTGGAAAAGTTCAACAGGTCTGGCAGCATCTGTGGTGAGAAATCAGAGTTAACATTTCGATTCGAGTGACCTTTCCTCAGAATTCTACATAAGATTCTGACCTCCATGGGAAAAGATAGAGATAAAAAGAGTGCAAGTGAGAGAGAGAGAGAGAGAGAGAGAGACAAGATGGCCAGGGATAAAAGAAATGGGCTTCATACATCTGCAACACAAATAGAGTTCTCCAGTGGATGTCCTATTGGGGAATATGTATCTCAGAGCATGTTACAGTGACCTGCGATCTTTTACCACAGGCAGAATGGACAAACCTGTTCCCTTCCACATTCAGATTCTGAATACATTTCTACGCTGTTGGATTGAGTAACTATCAGCTTTTGTTTTGATGTCTGTGTCGAGTTTCCCGTTTGTCAATCTTCCCCATTCCAGAACCCTGCAAGCATGCAAACTCACAATTTTAGCACTGACTGGGAATTCAGAAGAGACAAACATTTCCATAATGCTTCAAACTGTATTATATTTCATTTTGT